ATTGTCAAGACCAGCAGTGGGCCCATGTTACTAAATTTACCGGTCAGTTCTTATCGCACTGGATTCATCAACACTTTATAGAGCTCCTCTTTGGACCTCTTGCCTTTGTTGAGTTGCAGGACAGCACACTGTGCTAGTGAAAATCAGTTGTTCTTCATCTGCTCCTTCCCTCTCACACCTCCCAAGTTTACATGTTGAAATGCCTCAAGCAGCAATCATTGGGTCTAGTTTCTATCTGTGCTTTTCCTCTAGGGGATCACATCTGGACTCAGGACTTCAAATACCACCTATATGCTGAGAACAACTAAACTTACATCTGCAGCTCTGACTTCTATTCAAACTACAAGTGCATATATCCAACTGCCCTCTCGACAGCTCCATTCAGATGTCTGGGGGACTTTTCAAATCTAACATGTACAAAGCTGAACACCTGATCATCAACTTAAACTTATTTCACACCTTTCCCCATTTTAGTAGCAGCAATCTCTTCCTGTCTGGTGCCTTGACCCAAAACCTTGGAGTCATCTTTTACTCCATTCCTGCCTCCAACTTCCCTCACTGCAGATCTGATCTTTCAACAAATCCAATTCAGTCCCCTTTCAAATAAATCAGAGTATAACTACTTCTCTGCACAACCCGCCTTTTCTCTAGCACTCCTTACTTGCCTCTTTGTTCTGGAGTCCTCCAGGCTTGGCCTTGCCTCAGGGCCTTTGCCCACAATAAGAAGGTTCTTCCCCAGGATGGTTTCCTGGCTTCCTCTCTCATCACCTCATGTGAGGTCATCTCAGATGACCCTTTCTAAAATCACATCCTAACCCTTTCCTTGCTTTAATTTTATTAACAGAATATTAACTCCTGATGTACTCATTTTGTTTTAGGCTTTAACCCCTAGACAATGCTCTCCAAAAGAACTTTCTGCAATGATGCAAATGTTCTGTATTGGTGTTTTTCAATGTGGTAGCCAATAGCGATACATGGCTATTGAGAGGTGGAAATACACAGTCTCATTAACTTAGGATGAAACTGAAATTCCCACATATAGCCAGCAAGCCGCCTAGTAGACAGCATGGTTTAAACATCAGCTGCTTGAGAAGAGAACATTTTGATTCTTTCTGGCTGAGGTAACTCCAGCACCTACAACATCATCAGGCACACAGCAGGTTCTCAATGTATATCTGTGCATAGAATTAATCATGTTCTTTTCTTCCTGGCTCCATTTCCCTTGTTGAACATTGCCTCAAGCCATGGTATTTGGCTGATGAAGGAAGCAGAGGCTACATTTTAGGCCCCATTTACCTTACAGCCTATTGTGCAAAGCACAACCCTGTGTGGGGACTTGGTTTTGTACATGTTCACCCGGTTGCTTAGAATTTGCAACTTTTTCTCTGCTTTCAAATACCAGGATCACCATCAATATGTAAAGAAAGGCAAGGGGGATACAAAGAGAGAGGCTGAGGTTTGGAGATGTTTGCCTATCTTTCTGTCCTCACTGCCTTAATGACAAATGTACCTAGGGTCCCACTAGTTATTATTATTATTTATTATTATTATTATTATCATTGGTTTCAATTATTTTATCAATTTAAAACCCTGTGTAGGCTTTCAACACTCAGATGTAGGAAAAAGGTTAGATACGAGAAGCAGTGAGCAATAGCCTGGGAGGAAGAAAAATAATCGATTCTAAGCTTAAGCTCCTTATTCTTAATAGTAATTACCCTTAAAATATAAATCTCTCCTCTTCATCAAGAAATAATTTTCATCAATCTTACAAGGAGAAGATTTAACAACACTCTGTGGATGGGATAAAATCAAATACCCCTTCCTGTGCCTTCTGAATTTATTTCTGTGCTACCATTCTCCTTTTTTCCACAATGTTTCTTACCTATTAGTAAAACATGAGCTAAAAGGTACACAGAAACCCAGGTTTACCTCATTCTGTCTTTGCAGGGCAGGGCCCAAGTTCATCCAGGTACACTTATGCTCTCTATGCACAAAATGTTACTCAAGGACAGAGGAAAAATAGTGCAAATAGCAGAGAGGGACAGTATCTCTCATGGTTTTCAGAGTTGCTTCCTGACATAAATATAAATAAATAATACATTCTGCTGGCCGTGAAGCCAGTAGTCCAGCTCTAGCTCCTTCATAACATTGACTGTGTCTTAGCTTACTTGTGCTTCAGTTTCCTCATCTGTAAAGTGGGGATCATAGTAATACTGCTCATCATACAGTGTTGTTTTAAAGATTAAATAAGAAATATAATGTGCTTACTGTAGGTTATATGCATTTATTTAATGGTTCCAGCTATTGCTACTCCAGACAGAAAATTCTGAACCACTGTATTAGTTTCCCTAAATAATTTTCCAAATGAGGACTAGAGATATAAATTCTTTCATCTGAAGCATCTGAATGAGGACTGAATGAGGCACTGGTCTACTACTTTCTTGTTAGTATTTTTGTCATAGTCCACCCTGATGCTCACCATTTCCTTTTATTCCTTTCCATTTTCTTCTTGACTGTTACATGAAAGTAAAAGGAGAACCAGAGATGGAAACTGTGATTTGGATTGCAAGTAAGATATTACTCATTTTGATTTTCAATTTTTTTCTTCACCTGTCTGGGGAGTGATCTACCAGGTCAGCTGGAAGCTGTCTACCAGTGCTTGGAGGGAATGGTTTTCACCCAGAGACCTTCCAGGCTCAAAAGATACCAGTGTCTCTGGCCTATCTGAAAGGAAGCTCTGAAGCCATCTTAGGCAAACAGACATGGCTAACAGACATTTTCAACCTCGAGGTGGTAAAACTTCTAAATCTTTGGTGATCTATTCTCTTGGGATCAAGAGTTGATTCCAACTGCCATTCCAATTACCTTTCCCAAACTACCACCAGAACACCACCTGTGGAGGTGTTCACACCTAGGGCTAAGCGCTCAGGCAAACTAAAACGTGTAAGAAGCCAGACTCCCCCACATCCTTAGCCTGTTACTTTGGCCTGGTACTTAGGAGCTATTAAGTCTGGTACTCAATGATTTACTCTTCAAGTGTCTGCAGTCATGTCTTTTCCTAATTGCTGCTCTCATTTTGCACCCTAATGCCAAATAGTCCCCCGGAGACTACTGAGTAAAACAACAGGAAAAATTCCAATAACCATCACAGATCCTTAATAAAATGCAGCTTTTAAAGTAGACGACCTTCCTGGAACCATCCCAAGTAGCCTGAAACTCCAGTTTTCTTTAGGCACTTCATGTGCCTGTCAGTTACTGAAATTAGCTCCATTTAATAAATGATTCCCTCTGCTGGCTACTTGGCCAATAAAGTAGTTTTAGGGACTCTACTGAGTGCCTTATTTAGATAATTACCCTAAAACAGGAAGGAAATATTGTGTATAAGGACAAGGCTGGGAGGAGAGATTTTTGACTAAAAATACCATCTGAGAAAACTGTTTATAGTACATCCAGAAAACTACAAATAAATGAACAGAGCTGGCAACTCATTTTAAATCAGAGATAAGGGATTCTAAATGAGACTGGTGGATTTCATATAGTGCACAAATATGTGCTATGAATCCCAGATCAGAGAAACTCGCCAAAATATCCTACATGGTTAACGTTACGTAAAGCTTGGCCAAATAAATCAAATCCTTAGTACACAGTCTTGGACTAATTATCTGGACTCTCTGGGGGTTACCTTTGTCTTTTCAATACTACCTCTCCCTATTTTTTTATCTTTCCAATTTCTATCTTCAAAGTTTGCATCCCAGCACTGTCAATGATAACTTTCTATATTATGACTCACAAATAAATACTTTTATGGTACACTGTACTAAATTTGGTTACATTATAAATTTTTAAAATCTGCTTTGAAAAAGGTAATTGATCAATATGGATGTGGTATAATTCTAATCACTAAGAAATGTTCCCTCACTTTTCTTCCTTGTTTTTATCTTGAGCAACAAGTAGAGTCTTACTCTATATGAAAAATCTTCAAGATGTTTATGGAACTGTTTCTGTTATATAAACTATATGCCTGTTATATGCCCAATTATCATTAGCCCATACCATCTACATCTGTTCTGAGAGATTCCTTCCATCAACATAGTCATCTCCCAAAGTGTACTACTTATATTGTACAGGCTTTCGTTAGCAGTTGCTCATGATTTCAGTTTTCATCTGTAAGTCTGTTTAAAGCAATTAAAAATCAGATAGGTATACGCTACCATCAAGTCACAGAGATAGACCTGTGCAACGTGCATGTATAAGAGCATTATGCTATGCATCCATTACACTTGTGATAATCTAGAGCATTACTGAGGCACATGAAAATGTTAAGACTATGTAATGCTGCCTAATGTTCATCACGTGTTTGTTATATGTCAGCCTTCCAGTTGAGAATTTTAAATGGACTGCTTTATTTAATCTTCACAAATCTATACAATAGTGTCACACAAAATAATGTATGAGCACCAAGTCCTGGAAGTCATATTGCAGAGCCTACCCTTTGAACTATGCTTAAAACTGCCTGGCAGGCTGGTTATTATTTTTCGTTTGTTTGTTTGTTTCCTTTTTTTTATAGCAACACACAGAACACCATACAGATGCTTATTATGAAAATATCTTGACTCTACACCTGAGCACCGAGTTTTCAAGTAAAGGAAGAAACAGATTGATTCCACAGAACTTGAATACATTTTAAATTAGGTTATTTAATTCGTTAATAAGAATAATTCAATAAATGAAAGTAATACCTTTGAAGACTCAAAAATGGAAGAGGTGATAGTTTAGCCTCTGAGGATAAATGGTGGTTAAAAACACATAGTAGCCTCAAGTAGCATAGTTCTGGCAAACAGATTAGAGAAGGCGGTGGCAGAGGATAACCGGGGCGGGGGGGGGGGGGGGGTTGGTGCACAGGTTGGGGAAAGTGACGTTTAAAGTGAGGACATAACCAGGTAACAATGAAGGAGTGAGTGTTCCAGGCAGAGGTCCCAATATGAGCCTGGTCTGTCTGCAGAGAGAGAAAGACTTGCTAGACTGGAGCCAAGTGAGAAAAGCAGAGGCAGAGGACGGCATGGGGGGAGCAGCCGGGAGACACATGTGGAAAGAGGTGCATACTGCACTGTAGTTGCTGGGAAGGGATATTAAGCAGAGGGGTGATCTGTCTCAGACAAGTGATGGTATAAAATCATTTCTGGAGTAAGCAGTTTCTCCAGTTGATAATTGTTACTAAGGAAGAAAAAAGAGATGGAGTAAGTAGTTTCTCCAGTTGATAATTTTTCTTTTTCTTTTTTTTTTTTTTGATACCGGGGATCAAACAGGTCCTCGCGTTTGCAGGACAGGCGGTGGAACCACTGAGCTAAATCCCCGAACCCTTTCAGTTGATAATTTTTACTAAGGAAGAAAAAAGAGGTAAACAGCAGGGATATCTTTTCTAAAGAGTGTACTATTATATATGACAAAACACAAGTCATTCTTGTGAAAGGGCTAAACGTTACAAAACATCCAATAATCAAACTGAGGACTTGAAAACTTCACGGCACTAGGCATTTGTTTCTCTTGCACTATTAAAATAAACACGTAGTTTACACAGGTGACTCCCTTTGATTGAAAAATCCTCCATTAAAAATCTGAAGAGTAGCAGGAAAAGAGAAATAAGAGCTTATACTCTGGTCAGAGGCATAGAAGTTCATATGGACAGAGATGGTTCTGTGACCTGGGGTAGACTGAAGGAAGGAGATGGGATGAAGAGGATTCTTCAAATGAAATCTTGCATTTTATTTGTTTTTTAAATGTATCAGTAATTTAGGCTTTTGGCAACACATTTAGAACAACATTTTGTGAGGATTAATTCCATTTGTTTGAGCAGAAACATATCAGATGTATCCCTGGAACTAACAGTTTTGGGTTTTGGTAATTTTTATTGGTATATGTTTGCAATACCTAATAAATAAATTCACCTTGGGGAATTAATATAAATAATCTTAATCACATCTTGACTATTGTTACCTCTCTTACTCCCACCATCCCTTTTCCCCCTTCCCAAGTTCCACAAATTCTACCTTCTGTTTCCTATCATCTCTTGGGCTTGTTAGCCTGAAGGGTATCCCTTTAAACCTTGTCCCTCACATCAGCCTTCTTGCCCTTTAGGTTGTGTTCTCTTTAGTGTCTGACTTCTCAGCTTCTTTGCCTGACATTTTAGAATATGGGAAAGAGCAAAGTTTTACATGTTGATAGCTCAGAAGGCAATTATACATTTTGATCGTTGCTTTTCACACTGTGTACTGAAAATTCTGAGCTCAAGAGAGAATTCATTTCTACAGAGCTCTTTCTACAAGGGATCAGACAGGGTTCATAGAACTCTACCAAGTAACACTTCATGTTATGTGAGCCAAAAGAAAACAGGAAGTTCATGGAAGTGACTCTTGGTTTGAAAATACCTGGGGGAAATACTGGACAGAGGAGGCTAAATAACTAGCATTCTCAGTAATCCTAAGAGCTGATTGTACAAGAATCACTGCCATTCTTGGTGACTTGTCTGTGGCTGGCCATGAGCCCTGTGTCACGTGGGATAAGGCTAGAGGTTTTGTTGAAAAGGAGCCAGGAGAGAAAAAGTTATGTGGAATCCTACCTATCTCCTTATAGAGTGCAAGAAGAAGAATTAAATATTTCAAAGATTCTAAAATATTTAAAGGACTGAAGTATTTTGATATACTGGTATTAATTGTCATATAAGATTATAAAAATACTTTGACATAGGAATTCTGACCATAGCTTGTATATAAACTAGGATCCCGAAATTTAATGTATACACTGATACCCTATCTTCTGCACAGTGTCACATCTTGCAAAGCATTTTCTCAAGTCTATTACTTCATTTGATACTCATGATGGCCCTATATTTAGCTAACACAGACATAATTTATGTATGGCAGATAAGAACTTCAAGACACAAAAACATGAGTTCACCAATTAGACACAAATTGTGGCTTGGTCAATTTCAAATCCTATGTCATTTCTTTCTCAAAGTGAGTTGTTCTAAAACTATGAATCCTAGTCCTAGAGTAACAGCAACTCCTGAGAACTTAGAAATGTAAGCAGCAGGCCTCTCCAAACTTACTAAATCAGAAATTCTTGGGTGGGCCCAGCACACCTAGTAAGTCTTCCTGCTGATGCTGATACCTGCTAGTTTGGAGACCATAGTGACTCTCTATCCCATGAGAACAATAGTGTGAGGAGAACTTACCTTGGGTGCAAGGAACACATTCATTCCTCATAATTTTCTTGACTACTTTATCAGCTACACACATGCCGGTAAGTAATTCTTGGTCACACAGTGGTGACTCATTCACTTATACTATTGGTGCCAACCTATGATATTACTTAACAAATTTGACTAATTCTTTTTTGTGCTGATTTGATTTGTGAAATGAATAAGAAATCGTTTTACTTACAATAATCATTTTAATAAAGAACCAGAGCCTATGGTCCTGGAAGTTTCAGAGCAAAGAAAAACAATTTTTATTTGTTTGTTTTGTTAATTTTAATTTCTGCTTTCTTGGGATTTCAATCACTAGGAGTCTGGAAAAGAAACATAAAATGGAAATCTAAGCTATAATTTTAGTATGGCTTTGGGCAGGGATTTATAAAATATCTCAAAAAGTAAAATATTGTATTTCATTGGGTCTAAGATGCCATCAATTACAAAATAATTGTGACCATTATTTTATATACCACTATTGAAATAAGAAAACATGGCCAATCTAACTAATGATGAAATGCCATCAAATGCAAGCAGCATCCCAATTTAAGACATGTTAAAATATGAAGACGTATATCTTAGAATTAATCGACTACAGTACAATGTTTAATGTACAATTGCAGCTGGCATCCTCCTGCAGGGCAAACTCTGCTTATATATTTTCTTTACATAAGAAATGTTGATCTGGCCTTAGTTATGGTACATTTATAGTAATTTCTCTCTTCAAAGATAAGCAGTAGTCATCCTAGCCTAAGGATTGTTATATGACATCAGTAACTAAATACTGCAGATGGAAAGTATTCTTCAACTGTTTGGTTTCTGAATTGTCATATGGTGTAAAGGAAAAAGGCAATTGAATGAGAAAATGAAGGAAAGGTAATAGTAAAACACAGAACACTCATTCACTTGAATAAATCTTTTGATTGTTATTTAGAAATAAAATCAGCCCCAAATTTAAGATATGTTACTTTTTATATGCTGGCATTGTTTCATTCTTAACTAGTTACGCTGCACATTGATGTTAGCTATTAAATATATATAAGTGAACTATGTTGCACAAATTTGTAAATATCACACAAGTCTTCTCCCCCACTGTAACTCTGCAGGAGGCCATGTACTTGCTCAAGAATTTAACAAAGTAACATAGTGGTATTCCACAAGTTTGAACCGAAGACACCCTGAATGGTGCCTGCACAGAATTCTCTATGAAAAATAAGGAAGATGGCCTGCTACCTGGTAATAGTAGAAAAGCTCTGCTTACTTTTTATTCTGGAGAATTTTTTTTCAAATAAGAAACTCATTGTTGGGAAAATGTTATTTCATTTTCTGTAGTTTTACAATTCAGATTGTCTATGGTAACTAAAAATGCCACTTATTTACTTGGATATTTTTAGTATTCCACTAAACTACTGGAGAGTATAGGAAAGTAGATAGGAGACACAAGATCAGGTTGTGGTTTTGTTATTTTTCAGCTCTATAATGTGAGCAAGGCACTTAATTTTTCTAAAATTAAAAATCTAAATGACTGCTGAAATCTCTTTAGTGATTTCAAACTAATAAAATCTAAGAATATAGTAATAATAATAATATAATTTTATATATAATCTCATTTAATAAAAAATAAAATTAGATAATGCAGAGAAGTAATATGCATAGTGTCTAGCACAAACACTCAATGATTTCTATCAAGTACTATGAGTCTATATTCAATAACAATAAAATTACCAGGATGACATTAATGTTCCCTTTCAGTCAAGAAAAATAGCCTTCAAGAGACTGTTGTCCTTCTGAGGCCCCAACCTGTGACTTTGGGATTGTTTTCACATTTTGGGGATCATTTGACATTACTCCACAGAGATGTTATTGATTCGTGTCTGTTAAACCATATCCTGCAATTTTATTGTATTTATGGGCTCTAATTTATGTAAGATCCTAAGATTATCTGCAAGCACAGACAATTCAACATCTTCCTTTCTGATTTAGATGCATTTTATTTGTTTTTTCCTTGTCAAATTGCTCTGGTTAGAACTTCTGTTACTATGCTGAATGCAAGTGACAAAAATGGACATCTTTATTTTATTCCTGATCTCACAGGAAAAGCTTCCAAGGTTTTACCAATGACTATAATATTAGCTATGGGCTTATCATATATGGTCTTTACTGAATTGAGGTACATTCTTTCTATACCTAAGTTGTTCACAGTTTTTATTATGAAAGGATGTTGAATTTTGTTAAATGACTTTTCTGTATCAATTAAGGTAATGATACGGTTTCTATCCTTTATTTTGTTAAAGTGGTATATCACACTCATTGATTTGCCTATATTAGACTATCCTTGCAGTCTGTGGGTAAATCCCACTTGATCATGGTGAGTGGTCCTTGTAATGTGCTTTGAATAACGTTTGATTGTTTATATTTATTTACGATGTTTTTCTTATTCTTAATTGCATTTATTTCTGGTTCTTAACTATATTTGCAGTTCAGTTGTTAAACAGGCCTCACTGGATACTTTATTCTATGTCAGCCTATTAAAAATGTCAAGAGTAGAGCACACCTCACTACACCAAAATATACAGAACATTTAGATAAGCAAGGACTGAGGTATCCTCATCACAAAATAACCACAAATTATTTTCTTCTGAAAGCATTGATATTTATTGCAATTGCCCTTGAATTTATTACAAAATAGTCATACATATAGATAAAGAAATGTGAAATGCAGGCATTTTTCCCATTAAACTGACTTTTAGTTAAACAGATGATGCACTTACTATTTACCTAAAATCCTGAGATGTTTCCTAGGATTTCTAGCCATCCTCTTATTTTGTTCAAAGAAGAACCTAAAATATCTTGAAATAAATTACAATATTTATGTTGTATATTTTGTAATCATTTAAATGCCCAGTCTTTCATTGAGTGTTGTCATTGTTGAAATGCTATAAAAAAATAAAATTCAATATTACTGATTCAAAATACTTAATCGTTTATTCCATGTTTCATAGACATAAATATTATCTCTGTATTCCAGTCCTCATTTTTCTGCTTAAGAAACTAATTTGATTACAAGGTTAAAAAGACAAATTTGAAATTTATACACAGATGTTTGACCAAAAACAGTCCTTCTGTACTCTTTTAATTCTTCATGTTAATTTCAAGTATAATATTTAAAGGATTTAATAATCTCCCACTCTCCTGCTTTTCTGGGCAAGGAAGGATGAAATGAGTTCATCTCAGGAATTAGAATCTAGCAGGTGTTAACATCTGGGAGAACTCAGTACTTTTGCCCAAGGCCCACTGCTACAAAGAAATCATGGCTTCCTCATTAATCCTTATATTCTTTTAAATATTATTTCTATTAAAGGAAGACATTATTAAACAAGTCACTATTGTCAGAAACAATTTTCAGAAACACAAGAACATGTTAATTAAAATATTATAAGAGATATGAATATGTAGTCCCAAACCGAAAGAGAAATGATGAGGGAAATAGCAATGACAAAACAACAACAACAAATGAGGAAATTCTATTTCATGTAACAATGAATACAGTAGGAGCATATACATGTTAGTTTTCATCATTTAAAACAATTCTATTGAATGTAGACTATGTGTCATGTCCTGGACTAGTTTCTTGAAATACAGCATAGAAATATATAAAAGAGGGCTTAACCCAATGGTAGCTGGACAGGACAATGCTTTGAATGACCAATGCTGCACGATATCACCTTGGCTTTTAGGTTAATGTAAAAGAACAGAAGCAGATAAAGTTTAAGGTTGACCCTTCAAGAAGTGTATCTGTTAGCTGACTTCCAGATACTCTTCATTCTCAAAGGATAAGACATTGATTTCCCCATTACAGATAATAGTAGATGACACAGCTGCTGAAGAGATTTATCATATATGCTGAAATATACTCAAATTAAAAAATATATAATCACACATATAATGAAACACATAAGTAAACGTGATGAGGTTCTTTATAAGCTGTGATACTGAGGAAATATTTAGAGATTTAGGAGAGCCATGGGCAATTTAAGGAAGGTATAGAATTACTGGTGAGAAAGAACAAAAAAAAATCAACTTCATTAAAATGTATCCAGTTCTAGTTTGGTGTATATTTAACTCTGTGGATAAATAAAATGTGTAGAGAAAGATCCTTTTGTGCTGCAAACCCTTGCATATCTGCACATGGGATGAAGCACATACGTGCATTATTAACTGATGACACAGACCAGCACAGCCTTGTATGTTTAATGGTATTTGTCTCTTGGCACTAAGTTGGATTAGTACTCAACTTTTTAGAGGCTTAGTTTTGGAGGACAACTAATGAGAGAATCTTTGTACCTCTCCAAGGGCAACTCAAAACCAAGTGTGAGTTCATTTATACAAGTGTCTACTTTCAACATTTCTCTCTCTCTTCTCTCTCTCTCTCTCACATACACACACACACACACAGACACACACACACACACACTCACAAGGGTGAGAAATAAGAGGATTACCAAAAATAAGCCATTTTCTACCAAAGAAAAAACAGTAATTCAAGACTCTAGGAAATGTTATTTGACACCTCCACACACACTATTATTTGCCAAAATAACACTATTCTCTGAAGGAAATGGTTTCTATCTCAAGAACTGTAAACTCTAACTAAAAGAACATATTGTATATGTTTATAAAAGCAATATTTTTTATTGGATGCACTATCTCACAATGACTTTTGCATGATTCCAAAGAAAAATTCTTGTGCATGTGATAAAAGCAATTTACACATAGGAATTCATTAAATGACACAAATAAGAGTAGAGCATGTATACATGTGTGGAAAGGAAAAATATTTTCCTCTAAAATTAATTTGAACTAAAGCCCCCTTTTTGAAAACATAAAGCCAAGGCATGCTACTATATCAATATCAATGTTCAATCAATTTTATTGTTTGAATATGGCACTTAGTTGTCATGCCAATATCCTTAACTGTAACCTGAAGACAATTTGATCTGAACCAGAGCATTTAGAAGGATAAAGTGATAACTTCAAGGTAAAGTCTGAGGCAACAAACAAAGCTATTTATTTCTTTCAGATTGGAAATTAATCCTGGTCCTTACTTGAAAAAGCAATTTAGATACCTTATTTAAAACTTTACCAAATCCAATTCCAATATTTTTGGAGTTGCACAGTAAAGAACATAATATATAAAGAAATTAAAGAAGAAGAGCTGGGCATGGTGGTGCATCCCTGTAATCCCAGCACTTGGGAGGCTGAGGCAGGATGATTACCAAGAGTTCGAGGCCAGCCTGGATTACATTGTGGGTTCAATGCCAGCCTGAGCTACATAGTGAGACCTTGGCGGGGGGGGGGGGAGGAAGAATAGTACTAATCATGAATCACCTTTAGCTTTAAATTACCTCTATGTTTGGGCTGAGACTTGTCATAGCACTTACCTTTCTTTTTTCCATAATCAGGTATATAATTAGATACTTAAACAAAAAGCTTTGTTTGACTCAATGTCTCTTTTCCTTTCAGAAATATCAAACAAAATTGTTTTAAAAGATTGACTCAATATGCTATAAAAATAGAATTTTAGCATGTATGACATGATCGTATTATCAAATGACAGTCTAAAATCATTAAATATTCTGCTTGGAGAAAAGATGAGTTCAGTAAGAATTGAAAAAGTTTAGGACAGAAATTTGCTTTTGTATCTTCTACCTACTTCAGATTTTTAGCCCATTTCTAGTTCCTTTTGGGACTCCCACAAATGGAGAATGGCTTTTGGCACAAGACAGTGAGAGCCCAATTTTAATTGCCTATCCAGAACTTTCAGACCAAAGTAAGACAAATACATCTTCCAGATGGTTAAAAGCAAACAAAGAAAGCCAGTAGTTAGCCACTTGGGGCATAACTACAGAGCTGTACATTAATACCAGCTTCTACCCAGCAGTGTCACAGCCTCTCTAGAAAATAATGCTGGTAAGCTGAGGCCCACAGCTATCCAGAAGTGAGACTCTGTTTTTAGTATCTCACACCATGATGGTGGAGATTAAGGCCTTGGGCACTAATGTGTCTCTCTAGAGTGTGATTTCAGACTTTTTACTCTCATGCACTTGATGAAATAGTCATGTCTTTAATAGAAAAATCCAGTGAATGCCTCTCACAATGTCATCTAACTACAAATTTAGGATGAGCCATTTGGTTTTAACCCCAGATATTTCAGATATTATAATAAATTGGTTCTCTCATCTATGAAGTATGTGAGGAACTTTGTTGAACAACCTTTTTCTAGTCTCTTTGGATTCTAAGATCCTCTCTTTTCATTGTATATCTTTTCCTTATTAAATAGCAAATGCTCAACAAAAGGGTAATTATTATATTACTTAAAACATACGTCTATTTGCTTTTCTTAGGAAACAGGTGCCTGGCACAAAAGTACACAGTCTCTTGAACAGAAAAAATGTTCATAGGAAGAAATAGATAAGCAGATATTGGGAGTAGGAGGAGAGATGGGAGGATTTTATATATGCAAATTTATTCTGCAATAGAAAGCAACAAAGAGTCCCTCTAAATGGATAAAAATATGCATACATGGATAGAAAATATTGTGGGGTTTATTATGATGTATTTGCTATAGTTTGAATTACAAATGTGTCCCACAAGCTCCTGGGTTGAAGGCTGAGTCCCCAGCTTGATGCTTTTGGGAAGTGGTGGCACCTTTCAGAAGTGTGGCCTAGTGGGAAATCTATAGTCTACTGGGGATATGGCCTTGAGGGGAGTGGTAGAAGCCCAGTCCCATCCTCTCTTTTGCTCTGTGGCCATAAACAAATGGTTTTGCTCTGCCATATATTCCTTGTCATGATGTGCTGTTGTGCTACAAGCCCAAAAGCAACAGAACAACAGACCATAGACTGACACTTTCAAAACTGTGAGCCAAAATAAACCTTTCTTCTTTATAAGTTAATTGTCTCAGGCAATTTATTATAGAACTGGAAAGTTAAAATAAAATTGAAGCTAAATGTAGTAGAAACCATATTTGGTATGTCTATTACCGAAAGAAACCATGCTACTACTACTTTCTATTCCAGCTTGCAGGATATTTGAGATTCAGCCAAAAATGGATCAACAAAAAGTTTAATCCCTTCCAGCTAGTTCAGACAAAAGAGCATAACTTGCCCCCTTGGCAAGGAGAAAGCCCCAAAGATTAACATTATTCTTTTCTGAGAGATGTTCTTGGATTTAATGGCAAGGAACACCTTTTCTAGATTTCTGTCTTGGCTTTCTATGTGTTATGTATTGTTTGTGTTTTTTTTTAATTCAGGGTACAATTTTATTTTCTTTATTTAAACTGAAGTATTCACCAGTCTAGCCCCAAATGAGTTTTATCTACAATGGAAAGGCTGACTTCTATTTGAGTTGAATTCCATGAACAACAACAGAGAAGGAGCATAAAGATATTTGACATGAGCAAACACCTCCTTATTCAATTTGACTAAAATTATGCATTATTATGTTTTTTCTTGTCTTTTTGCAGTTGCCTGTTTAAATATGTTTTCGATAGACAACAAGGCACCAAGAACCCTGGGTAAATAATAGATGTTAAAAATAGCTACTACCTAACAATGTTACTAGAATAATTAGAGTGTAGAAAACTCTCTCATATGAGAAGCCAACTAAAAACAAAGGTTGGCATGATGCTGTTTCTTTGGTTCTTTTCAAATTAATACAGCACACTTGTTCCAAACTCATCTCTTCCATTTAAAACTATTTGGATTGTTTTTGCTTTGTTTGCTTTTCAACTTCCCCTAAAATATACAATAGTGGATTCTAGTTTTTGTGCAATTTCCTTTTTATACTCATAGTACCAGCATACATTGGTATGCATGGGTTACACATATGCCTTGCTTTTAAACTCAGAGCAAGGAAATTATTCTTAAAAGAAAAGCCTAATTTCAAGCCAGATTCCACTGAGTCATGTTATTCAAAAGCAATATAATATGAAATTCATTTCTTTGTGTGGTGGGGGCTGCTAAAGAACACAGCCAGAAAGCGCATCTTTGCAACACCACAGCAGAGCAATAGCAACTCTGAGGACTGTCCATAGACAGCACGGAGCCTCTGAGCAGGGAGTATACTCTTATAATCAAACCTGGAAGACCATAAGATTATTCGGAAATAGCTATTGCTACCCCCACCCCAGGTACAGTGGAATAAAAACAATGACTTCCATTCTCCTCCCCAAATGCTCCAGTCACTTTTGTAGACTCATTACTTTCTCACGTCAATTATCATACTTCAAACAGAAGATTTATCATGTCTACCTTTAATGAAGAATGAATGGGACTCATGGAGGGTATAAAGGTTCTGACATGTCCCATGGAGTCTGCCAAAAGAAAGTGTTCACCATTTTTTAAAGGTCAGTATCCATAGAGGTCTGAACTGACAGGGCCATAAACATGATCAGAATCATTTTCAAACTTCTTATCAAATTTTACCTAACTCAAGTAAAACACACTGCCTATCTTAATGACCTAAAAGATATTATGATATCATAGCATATCTTGAAGATCCTGAAAGACATACTTACATTTTGCTGTTACTTTGTACCCCCCCAGAGGAGGGGTGTGGCCTTCTAATGCATCAAATCCAGCGGAAACTAGGACCATGTTTGGATCAAACTCTTTGGCCACAGGCATCACGACAGTCCTGTATAGTAAAAAGGCAACCAGTCACATATGGGAATGGTGAATGCCTTTAAAATTGTTCAGTGAAAATGATTTGGCTCAACCTCAAGAACTTCCCAAGAATAAAGAAAAAGGGAAAAGAAAACAATGTTTGAACAGACCAAAAACTTATCATGTCCTTAATACTTCATCACTGTTATTTTAGCATCTCAATTCCTTCTTTTTTCTTTCATCGTTTTTCTTCCTATTGAAAAAAAAATGCTCTGCAGGTACATTCAAAGGCCCATCATATTACATGCACATCTGTAGCTGTTTTATCCCTCTGCCTATAAAAAACTCTGCTTCTTCCTAGGGAGTGACTAATGTTTTACAGAGGACAGAAGAAGGTTTAGGAAAACCTAGCTTGCTCTGCTTAGTGAAAACTTGGTGTAAATTTGAACTATAAATTTCTTTTTGGAAAAAGTTTGCTTTTCCAACTTTAAAAAAAAATATTTAAAAATATTTGTCATGGTAGGGGGTGACTCTTGCAAAGGAAAAACACGAAATTCTCTTAATAAGATCCAGACTATAATGTTAAGTGAGTCCAAGGTCAGACACACCAGGAATGTGGCAGTCTTATCCACGACAGCTGCCCTCGCTGGCCCCATTCAGACAGGTTGGAACTGACCTCCTCTGCTCACTCAGTTCTCCCTCACCCCTGCTCAACAGGGCTAGGGGAGAGAGAGAGAGAGAGAGAGAGAGAGAGAGAGAGAGAGACTAATATATGGCACAGAACTTTATAAAAAAATCTAAAAACCTTTAAAGTAGGGTTCAAGACCAGTGTGCCATCATAAAAACTCAAATTTTAAGAACTATTTAATAAAGGAAACTACACACTGTCATGAAATTAACAAGTAGTAAGATCCCTTACTGTATGTTTGTGAGAAATAACTAAAAAGATATTAAAATAGTGATCTTTGAGCAATAAAATAATTATTTTTGTTTGCGAGTTTCCAAATTTTCTACAATGATACTATATTAACTTTGTGTTTTAAAAAATCTGAATTGCATGTCACCAGTGAGAAGTTGTTGAATGTAGAAAATAAAATATTTAGTGAAAATTATCTAGAGATATAAATGAATGAAATATTATTTTTAATAACTCTACTGCTATCATACAAGTTCCATCCATCAAGCTTATAAATAAATGTACGTGAAAGTGGTTTCCATGATGGTCCTTCAAACAATGGGAAAATCACATAAATCTGTATAGCACATCAATGAAACTAAGTAGAAATCCATAATTATTGGCTATGTACAATTTCATTATTTTTTTCTTCAATAAAATTAGGACTCTCTAATACAAATATGTTGTCTGAAGAGTACATTAGATTCTTTTCCCATTAACATCAGCTTTTGTAGTTTTCATTAAAAATGTTACAAGTGATCAATTAACTATTTTTTTCAGATGAGTGAAATAGTCATGCACTGTTGAGATGTTGGAATAAGTTATTTCAATGAATCAAAAGTGTCTTATCAGGATACACTTTAATTAATCTTATGTACTCACTTAGGGAACAAATGATTTGGCTTCTGTCTAAACCAAGTAGCAAGTTTATTATGTAGATTATGCCCAAATTCACAAACATATGGGTTTTACATTCTCACAAACATTTCCAAAATACTCCATGTTGCAGGACTAATCTTATACATTGAATTCAATCCAGAAAATAAGAAAATGATGGAAACTATGGAAAAAAAATTACCTGATTGACTTCTTACACTTAAAATTATATATACCTGGAATTGTGTCTGAGCAATAGATGTTTGTTTAATGAAATAGCTGTGCATGATTACAATTAGAACTGTGTTTGGAAACGGCCCAAATGCCCATCAACTGGAGACTGGATAAAGAAAATGTGGTGTTTTTTAAAAAAAATGGAGTACTACTCAGCCATAAAAAATGAGAAATTAGAGACATTTATAGCTAAGTGGGTGCACATTGAGGCGATACTCTTAAGTGAAATAAATAGGACACACATGTGTAAATACCGAATAGTTTCTCTGGTGTGAGAAAATGAAAGTGTACATAAGGACTAAATGTATAATAGGTAATGTGAAATAGGAAGAAAAAGGGCAAAGGGGAAGGAAGTGGGAGGGCTAGGGGAAAGGATAGAAGGGAATGGGATGAATATGAGAAAATGGAAAACTAGGAACAAAATCTTTGTAAATAGGGAGGACTGGAGGGGTTGAAGGGAGGGCTGGGCAAGGGTGAAAAATAAGAACCAAGAGAGACTATGTAAAGGTGCAAATTTCCGATGATGAATGTCATTATATTGTATACCTAAAATGTACCAATGATTAGAATGAATAATCAATAATGTAAAATAGGAAGAAAAGGTCCAAAGGGGTAGGGGTAGTGGAAGGGGCAGGGGAAAGGAAAGAAGGGAAAGGAAAAATGATGAGAAATGGAAAAAATAGAAATAAAGTCTTTGTAAATAGGGAAGGGTGGAGGGGGTGAAGGGAGAGCTAGGAATGGGGAAAAAATAAGAACTAAGATGCATTATGTAAAGGTACAATTCCCAATGAGAAATGTAATTGTGTTGTATACCTACAATGTACCAATAAAAGAATTTAATTTAAAAAAAAAGAATTAGAAGTGCGTGAAGTTATGCTGCAAAATATGCCATGAAGAACCATATGACAACAGATATTTATAAAAGGTGACATTGGTGAGGGTCCTTCATTTCAACAAGTATATATTGAATGTTTACTATGCTGTAAATACTTGTTTTGGCAAAGATGTGTTCAATTTTGAACTGAATTTTACCGATTTGCCTACTGTTGATATTAAATACTTCTTTGCCCACCTCTCTGATAAACTGGTGAAATTAACTCCATAAATTTTTTTAATTTGACAATTATTTTAGGCTTGTCCATGGAAGGGTCTTTACTCTATTTATATCCGATTGATAGTCATTCAAAAGAACTATGTTATCACCTACCCTTTGAAGGTCCTTTACAAAACATATATTAAAATGTAATTGCCATTGTAACAGTATTAAGAGGTTGGGCCTCTAAGAGATGATTAGACTATGAATGAATTAATGCCATTATCACGGGAGTGTAGTCCTGATAAAGGAGGAGACTGGCCCACTTTCCCTCTTTCTCTGTCTTCTTCATGCCTGCTCACCTTTTCATTGCATTATGACACTTCCCAGAGGCCTCCACCAGAGTCTTGGACCTCCGAAATCATTAGATAAGTAATTCTTCTGTATTATCTAGTTTCTCTTATAGCAACACAAAATGGACTAAGACAAGGTACTGAAAGACATTAGAATACTGAGTAGAAAAAACAATGTCATTTTTCTGAGATCAAGTCCTTAATCTCAGGAGGCATTCATTTAGTTTTTCTACAGAATTTGGCTTTCTACTTAAATATGGCAAACAAAGCATCTCTGTTTGCTATTCATCTTTCCCAATATTACATGGAAAAGAAAATATGCCGTGTTTCTCCGAACTAAGACCTGGCTTATGGAGTAGCCACCAAAGAAGAGAATAATGATGGCAGGTAAAGCAAGGATAGGCTGACTTGGGCTGGCATTTTGATTTTCTAGTTTTCTAGGCTGATTACTTTCCAGATAGGTCTTATTTGGGGAAACTGGGTAGGAATACATTTATGAATCTGTGGTTTTTAACACGAACATAGAAAAATATTACTTTTATATTTATGCATGGCCTAGCATAAATTTCCTAAAAATAAAGACACCTCAGTCACAAGGAACATAGTCACTGCCAAGATACGATTTTCTAATATTAATCCCCAACAAAAGGATCCAATGATTCTTAGAGAAATGGTTGATTTTAGGACTGTGTCACAAAAAATACAAAGTGACTCTGGAACATTTTATGGTGACAGAAAGCAACAAAATGCTCACAAAGGGATAAGGACATATCAGTAAGGCATATGAATTAATGCAAAAGCAGTTCCAATGGCTAAAGCTAGAACAATTTTAGGAACAAAATACATAAAATAGTATTTGGTTAGAATCCATATAATCAAATAAGTATCCATGAGCTCATGGTATCATACAAAAATAATTGAATAAATGAAGAGGAGAGCAAGTATCTCTTCCTTGTAGAGAAATATCAACTAATGCATGTAGAAGAATTGAAGGAAATAGAAAATCACCATTTGAAGATAAAAATAATTGATAGAGTTAAAATTCATAGATGGGTACTAAAACTAGTGCGCAGAACTTGGAGGAGAAACACGATATTTGTATAATACCAATGTATCTCCCCTAAGAAGTTACAAAGGAAAAAAAAAAGAAACTTAATGAAGAAAACTGCAGGCATCACCTAAACTAATTAACATCTTCAGTGGTACAATACCTGAGTATCAACACTACCCATATGATGCGCTACAAAAGGTACTTCTGCTCTGTGGTATTCTTGCTAAAAATATATAACCTTAAATCTAATAATGAGAAAACATCACAGAAACTTAACCTGAAGGCCACTGAACAAATTATTCAAGCAGTTGTCTTCAAAAGTCATTGCCATGCAGGACTAAGGAATTGCTAAAGATCCGAGGATACTAAGGGAGGTTTGGCATCTAAGTGTAGGGATTGGATTGGATGCTGGAACAAGAGGAAAAGCTTCAGTCCTACATAATTTTTATAATTTAGCGAATTGTGTTGTATAAATATTAATTTCTTAATTTTTACATGATTACTGGCTATATTTTTAACATTGGGGATCCTGGGTATCAGACATACATAGATGCTATTATTTTGACAAATTTTCTGTAATTCCAATATTATTTCAAAATAAAATATTAATGAGCATCAGGATATATATAGATATATAGATATATAGATATAGATAGATAGATAGATAGATAGATAGATAGATAGATAGATATGAGTTGTCAGGAGAGTTTTGGGTTTTTTTAACAAATTCCAGAAGAGGGAAATTAGTGGGAGCATACTGAAAAAATGAAACAAAAAGAAAGTACTCCCTGAACATGCCACTGAGGGG